TGTCTGTTGATTTACTTACAGATTTGTCCATTTGTTTTGTTCATTTATGTGCATCAAATATATTAATATATCAATATATCTGCATCAAATGATGTATGTATTTCTTACTTCAATTTAATAATTTATATTTATTTGAAATTTAATTTATATTTATTTTTTTTAAAAACTATTTTCTATACTTTTTTTCTTTGTTCACTTATATATATATATATATATATATATATATATATATATATCAACATATTTACATGAATCCTTTTATTTATTGATTATTTATTCATTTCTTTATTCTTTTCTTATTCATGATTTATATTTAGATTTTTATGTAGATTAATTATTAATAAAATATTATAATTAAAACACGTTGATATATAAATAACTAAATAAATGAAACAGAGAACAAATAATTTGATGCATACAAAAATGAAATTAACAAATCTAAGAAATCTATAAATGAATCATTAGCAAATGAATGAATAAATATATATATATATATAACTAAATATATAATATCTATATATAAGTAAACTAGTAAAGTAATAAATAAAGAAATGAATAAATTTATGTAATATATAAATGAAGAAAAGTTTATAATAAAGTCTACAAATAAATTATTATCTAAATAAATGTACAAATCTATAAGTAATTAAATAAATAAATAATTTGAGGTGTAATATAAGTGAACAAAACAAAAAAATTTAGAAGCAAAAATGAATAATTAAATATGTAAGTAATTGAATAAATAAAAGTATAGGATAGGAATATATTGTTAATTAAATAAATAAATAAATAAATAAACAAATTGAAATGTATAATATATTATTATATTATTATTATATTATTATTATATTTATAATTATATTATTATTATTATTATATTATTATTATTTAAATGAATAAATGAATAAAAGAAAGTTTACAAGAAAGTTATTGAAAAAACAAGAATAAATAAATATATAAATATATAATATATATAAATACAAATATATAATATATAATATATAAATATAAATAGATAATAAAAAACATACAAATAAATAAATAAAGATTGAATAAATAAATAATTTCATGTAAAAAAAAATCCATAAATAAATCATTGTACAAATATATCGATAATAATCGATAAATCGATAAATCGATCAATAAGTAAATTATATAAAATAAAAAGTGTATAAATAAAAATATAATATAAATAATTAATCAATTAAAATTTAATAATACAAATAAATTAATAATATATATTTTTAATGTTGTTAATTAAAATAATAAAAATATATATCGTGCAATATTTTAATTTTCCATACAATTTCGATTATCGAAATAATCGAAATAATCGAAATATCGACTTTCGTCACCAGCCAATGAGAGAGCTCCGTGGCGACTTTTGGCGCGCAATGTCAGTCTTGTGTGGAAAGTGAACAAGGGAGGACGTGTGATCGCTGCCGGCTTGGAAAATTCTACTGCGCAGTAAGTAATTTTGATTGAATTTTGCTACCGAATTTATAATTTATTGTCATTTTCGTTTATTTGATCATCCTTTTATTATTTTAAGTGTCGAAATTCATTGATATTTTGAGTTTTCTTCTTATTTTCGATCATTGAATACCGGTAGTTCGTGCTTCGTCGAGGCGGGATTCGAATAAACTTGTTGCTTCATTTTGATATAATTTTCCTACGGATTTGTTTTACGATTTTGATTGTCATTTGAAAAAATTATCGATTTTCGGGATAATTTGAAAGAAAAAGTGATTTATAGTATGCATACATTACGATGATTTATGACTGATTTTAATGTTTCATATCTTTTGACAAATAAATTTATTAAAATAAATTAATTTCGAATAGATTTCTATAATTTCTTCATTCATATTGAAACAAACGAAACGAAGGCAATTTTATTTTATATTTATATATTCGGTTATTATATATTATATATACTGTATATTATTTCGGTGGTCATATTTCGTTTCTAAATGCGTCTCTTTGCAATGTTTATGTATTTTTTGTGTTTTGTTATGGTCGAGGATAATTAGATGTTTTCATAACATAGCTTTTCTAAGAAATTACGTGTTCGTATTTTTCCCACGCTCGACATGTTTCGACAGGCTTCGACAGGCTTCGACAGGTTTCGAAAGGCGACGCGCGCATCTCCCTCCGCTCGCCCCACCTCGACCCCGCGAAAATTATTTAACCGAAATTGTTCTACGTCATCATGTATCCTTATTCGCATTAGAAACTTCACTTTTTCTTTCGATTTGTTTGCTGCGTAATACGTACATATTTTTTTCTTAAGCTATAATTCGTATCATTATTAATAAATAAATACGCGATTATTATTATAAATGGCAATTGTTCGAAATTAAATTATTCGTTTTTCTCTATTCCTTTATTTGACGATTACAGTGTTAATTAATTCACCTTGTGCCTTTTTAAGATAAAATTTGTGTTTGATCATTGCTTTATTTTTATTTGTGATTGATTAATTTTATAGATTTCATGTATATATTTAAAAATTCTCATTTTCTTTTGTACAGATTATTACGATTATCCGATCGATGTATTGGTCAGAAAGGCGGGAAAAATTCCAACATGGACGCCATTATATCTTTTCAAAAGGAAGCTTGATTTTCTGCTCATGTATTGTATGTATTTATTCTATATTTGTTCTATATTTCGATCGTTATTATATCATATACTTTATCATTACGTGAAAATATATTTCATCTTATATATATAATGAACATTCGCCATAATTATTAATTGTTTTTCATGAATGATATATATTCTAAATTCTTTAATTCATACAAAATTGATAATAATCGATTCGTGATTTTTAATAAAAACAGTAATTTTTTCTGAAACAAATGTTCGATGGAAAGTAAAAATATTTTGCTTCTTTTTACATAAAATTCCCCCCTCCCCCCA